AATCTCCAGAAGATGGTGCAGAAGCAATGTGGAAGAGGACACAAGTGCTTCTTTTCATCCAAATTCAAATCATGAATCTGTCGTGGTGCCTCCATACCACCTACATGGTACTTAGCAGTCATTTGCTTTGTATGAAAGAGCAAGAGGAAAAAAAAACATCAGGCTGGCCCACTCTTGGCAAGGGTGGGAGGGTAGAAAGGAGACAGAAAAACACCATCAGCTGTGGCAGTGAGCTGTGTGTATTTACATTTCACAGTCTGAACTATTTAGTGGTTTATTTACACACAATGTTCTTGGAGCAGCTAAAATGCCAGTTGTGTTTTATCTCGATTTTGTGGCAATGAGCATAAGCCACAGAATCATAGGAAGAGTCTGCAAATGAGAGCCGAACCTCCTACATCTGGACAAGCACACGAGCCACTGTGAGAAAGGAGAGAGATTTTGGGATCACAGGCACAACAAGGGCTGAAATGCATTAGTTATGACAAGACACCAAAATACAACCCAGGGACTGGAAAGCAACGACCCAGTCACAATGCAACAGCTCGTGCTGCAGGGATTGCACATGCCAGAGTAACCCTCAGAGCCAAGCCAACCTGCGGCACGGCACGGCAGCCTCGGGTCCCTCCGGCTGCCCCTCCATGTTAGAGCGAGGAGGGAATTGCAGTCAGCTCCATTTTATGCACATTTGATGGCAAGACGCCAACACAACTGTTGACTGAGCCAAATCTGGGCCCCCTTGAACTAAGCCATCACCTAAAGCAGGGTGGAAAAGCACATGCCTCTCGCCTTCCCAGCAGCCAAGTTCCTGAAAAGCATCCCAGTTACAAGAAAGATTTTTCTTTCTTTTCTCTGACTACAACTGATGTTTTAACTCTTTTATGTACACTCATTAATTTGAAATTAAACAGCTAACACGGAGCTGCATTGTACAGCAGTGGGACGGAGAGGCCTCCTTCCAGCGAGCCAAATAATTTGCTGGCTGGCCCAAATGGCAGCTGAGGCCAGTGCCCGATCTGGAGGGCAGCTATCGTCACACTCTGCAGCCTGCTCCCAGCCTCGGCCAAGGTGCCAGTGGCTGCCTTCCAACTGGAACTGTATTCCGACAAAAGGGAATGCAGGACGAGCTTGGGAAAGCTTCCTGATCCCTTCGGTTCTCTTCTTCCCTCCAAGCCGGTGTTTGGTGGGAGCTGCCAGCACACTTGGGAGTCACAGGGAGAGCATCGCCACTCTGGGAATTCACCTTCCTGAGCAGGTACTGCTCCTGAGCCGGGCCTCTGCCTCGCAGCAGAGAAATCCCTCTGCTGACTTCTGCTTTAATTATATTTTAAAAACTCAGCTCCTAGGCTGCGTTCCATTATATTAATAGCAATAATTAAAAATACTTCAGACAACAAGTCCTCTAAACCTGCAGCTCTATCCAGGCTTTCTGGCATTGCACACTTCCTTTCCTGACTGACATCCTCAGGGAACCAGACTGATGGTTACTCTGCTCCATCCCTGCTGCAGGGTTGTGCTGCGTTCTCTCAGCACATGTAAGCTGCAAGGTAATATTTGTGTTGGCAACTTCCTTACATACTTTACAGAACCAGACCTCCATTTGACCCTCAGTGCAGCTCCCACACACGACTTGGTCCACTCCTTTGAACTGTCTCCTCTTGCTGCAACACATGCTCCATTCCATACCTCTGTTTCCAGCCTGTTTTAAAAACTACACAGCTTGAACAGAGCTTTTGTGCTTCAACAGGGCACCTTAGCCATAAAAGCCAAGCCTGCAGAATGTTCTTATGCAAGAACACCAAACAAAAATATTATAAAATCTGCTTGTACAGGTCTTGATACTTGATATTTGTCCTTCTCCCAAGATTGCTCCAATGGAAGCAATCATTTTTATGAAAAAATGAGAACTGAGTAAAGTTCTGTGTAAAAAGACATCAACATCCAGGTTTTATGGTTAGAGTCCAATAGCTGTACTGTGCTTTAGGGGACTAGTGGGGGTGTTGGGGGTTTCTGTTTAATATTAACTCCATTGCAACCCCTTAGACAGTAACACCACCTCAGAACAGACTTTCACACCAGAGATCTTTCCTTACCCAAAGCAAACCAAGCAGAATAAAAGATAAGCCAACAAAGTAACGTGCCCAGACAATCCAATGAATTCCCATTATCCATCTGTGCCGCAGCACATCATCACCAACTCCATTTAACGCCAACAGAGCTAAAGCAGAATAAAAGTGATGCAAGAAGAGGGGAGATGCGAGTGGCACACGGCGGCGAGGCAGCTGCAGTGCGAGCAGGGGACTGTGCAGAGCATCATGTGACAGGAGCAGCAGCGTGGGAGAGCTGCAGCCCCCGGCTCCCACCTCCCCAAACCTGCGCCCCCCCTGCCAGGCCATCTGAGCCCAGTGCAGAACCGGCTCGGGTTAGAAGCTTCTCGATGTTCTGAATCGTTACACTCCATTTTTATTACTTCCCTCCACAAAATAAAACGGGCACACAGAAATGATTAACAATGAGCTTCATGTTCCTCCCGCTGGAATGCACTCTCAGCATCTTTATCACTTGTAGATCGACTTTCTCAAAAGAGCACAGAATGCAGTATCGTTCTTACACATAGAGCAAAGCCCAACTAGACATCGTTGTGATAAAATATTCCCTTGTTTGTAAGGGACATGGATTGCCAACTGAATTTTGATAGTGTAGTGTAGCTACATATCAAGACAAAACAATGATCACATTCTCCTTTGTAGCACAACATTCCCTCTCTCCATATAGTTTGAATGGTTTTTCTATTTTCTGCAGTAAAGGACCTGGCCATCACATTCACGACTGTCTGTATTGCTCTGGCAGCCCAGGATGACTGGAGAATAATGCTCTCTGCTCCTGGTGAAGTGACTCACTCTTTCTTTCATTTAACATAAATCGTGGTCCAATTTATCCAAACATCTTGAATGAGACTGTATAAATCTGATTTGAAAATGAAGCCTCTTCTTTCTACGCACACGATCCCCAGCAGGGCACCAGGCTCCCGAAGTGCTTCCTCCACCGTGCCAGGGACAGCACAACCACCACACCACGGGGTCAGGCGGGGTGAGGAGACCCCAGCAGGAACTGCACCTGCAGATCCCACAGCAACACCCAGGATGATTTTCTACAATTTGCAGTCCTGCTGCCTGCAGGAGCAGAGGGAAGCACACGCATTCAGGGAGACTCACTCACATTTTAGTCTTCATTGGGTCTCACAGCTCTGCTTTGCATTAGCTTGGACAAGATGCCATGAATTATAGGTTGCATTTGGATAGCTCGTGCAAAATCCAGATTTTATTTTTTTTTTTATATTAAGGGGTCCATTTTGCAGCTTGAAGGACTAGAAACGCTTGGCCCAGACAGAGCTAAAGCGTAGAAGCTTGGAGTCTGGTTATTAAATGACAGACATGCAACTCAGACATTGATGAAAACAGGTCTTATTCTGTGGTGGGAGATTAGACTAAGAGCCGAAAACCTGCAGCCTTGATCTTGAATGCTTAAACAGGTTATGGACATTTTTATAAGGCAAGAAATTTGAGGGGATGACACAATATAACAACCACCCAGCTTCTATCCCCAAGGGCATCTCATATCACCTACTGCTCAAGCCACCTCTCTGTACACAAACAAATAAAAACCGGTGACAAGGGAACTGCTGCGATGGAAGTTTAAAATCAGAACAAACCCATGATGATTCCATCGAACCGGCAGCTTGGCTATCCAGCACTGCACAGACTGCTGCCGTAAAATCCTGCAACATTCCATCCCAGCGGGCTCGTCTGCCGATGCCGACCGGCGCTGGCTGTCAGCGGCGTGCCCAGCACCGGCAGCCTCGCCCGCCGCGGGCGGGAAGGGAGCGCGAGGAACGGAGAAGTTAACGGGGGATGGCTCGGGCGATCATCGCCGCTACGCTGCCAGCCCAGGCCTAAGCGTCAGACGTGTCACATCGCGTTCCTCCTCTCCGTTACCAGCAAAGACAGCGGCGAGCACGGCGCCGTGCCGCCGCCGGGCCTCGGCGGCTCCCGCCCCCGCCGCCCGTCATCGCGGCACCGGGCACGGACCCGCCGGGGCACCGGGGGATGCTCCGCGCAGCCCCGCCCGCACCTGCCGCCTTACCTGGGCTGCCACGCGCGGCGGGGCTCTTCCGCCGGGCCCGGAGCTCTGCGGGGGCGAGACCGCGGTGAGGGGCGCGCCGCCGCCGGGCCTGCCCTGAGGCGCCCGCAGCCGCCACCGCCGCTCCCGCCCGCCCCCGCCCCGCCCGCGCCCGCCCGCGCCGCCGCTCCGCCCCCCGCACCTGGAGGCCGGGCCGGAGCGGGGCAGGCGCCGCCGGACGGTCCCGCTCACCGCCCGTACCCGCCGCTCCCGACCACGGTGCCGGTCCGGGCGCGGCCGCAGCGCCGCCGAGGTTCGGGGAGCGCGGCTGCCGCCTCGCGCCGGTCCGCGCCGGTCCGCCCCGCCCCCGCGCGCTCCTATTGGCCGCGCGCCCGGGCTAACGGCGAGACGGCGCTCTGATTGGCTGCTCCGGCCGTCAATCGAGAGGCCCCGCCCTCCCGCGCACTGCCGGTGAGGCGCGGCGGCTGCTTGGATACGGCGGCGGCGGCGCCGCGGGGAGCGAGACCGGCCCGTCTGTCCGTCCGTCTGTCCGTCCCGCGCGGCCGCCTGTGCGCACAGCCCTGGCCCTGCCCCTACCCCTGCTCCGCCGTGCCGCGGCGGCCGCTCCCGCCACGCCCGCCATCACGTCCCCATCACTGCCGGTGTAAGAGTGCCGCACCTCGGCCAGCGTGAGAACACCGGCTGCGGTCTGACCGGGCTCCGGCGGCCGGGGGACAGCGGGGGCGGCAGCCGCAGCAGCGAGCGGTTCCCGCGGGGCTGCAGCCCCAGAGCCCGGGGCCGGCCGTGCCTCCCGCCCTGCCTGTCAGCGCCCGGCAGGGACCACCGGGGCTCCTCCCCCCGCCTGCGCGCCTTGGTACGGTCCTGCCGCGACACCGCCCCCGTCCCTGCGCCGCTTCCGCCTTTCCGCCGCCGCCATGGTGAGAGAGCCGGGCCGCGCTCGGGATCCGCCGGCATCCGCCGGCATCCCGCGGGAACGGCACTCGGGGATCCATCAGCATCCTGCGGGAACGGCGCCGGGACCCGCCGGCAGTCGGGACCGGGAGTCCCGGCAGTCCGCCCAATCCCGCGGGCCCGGGGCCCGCACAGGGGCGGCGCGGGGCTGAGGGAGGGCGGGCGCGGGCCCGGGGATCGGGCGCGGGCACTGACGGCCTGTCCGCCCGCAGGCCAAGATCAAGGCCCGGGACCTGCGCGGGAAGAAGAAGGAGGAGCTGCTGAAGCAGCTGGAGGATCTCAAGGTGGAGCTGTCCCAGCTGCGCGTGGCCAAAGTGACCGGCGGGGCCGCCTCCAAGCTGTCCAAGATGTGAGTGGGGCCGGGCGCGCCGTGCCGAGAGCCGCTGCCGCGGGCTGCGGTGCTGTGTGCTCCGGAAAACCGGCGTGGAAGGGAGCGCGTCCCGGCGGGCCCGAGGCCGCTGTGTGTCGGCTCAGAGGTGCTGGCCGGGCGCTGCCGGTGGTCGCTGCGGTGTGGCTCAGTGTCAGGGGAGCGCACAGGGCTCTGGATCTCGGGTGCGAGCCTTGGAGCAGCTCCTGCGGGTTGTCCTCACATCCCTCTCTGTCCTCCTGCAGCCGTGTGGTGCGCAAATCCATTGCCAGAGTCCTGACTGTCATCAACCAGACCCAGAAGGAGAACTTGAGGAAGTTCTACAAGGTAAGGACAGGCATTTTCCATAAGTGGCCTTTACATTCTTACCGTTCACAGTTACAAAGTTTGTGGGAAGGATTGCTACTTAAAAGCTTTAAAACTTGAAAAACTATAATTTATGTTCAGTGTAAAGTTCTCTGGTCACAGTTGCTTTTTAAATATTAGTGCGAGAATTCTGCACGCTTGGTGTGAGTCTGCTTTTGCAGGAGAGTGCTCTGCCAGCATCCCTTCTGTGGGGTGGGGTGAATTTGCTTAGAGATGTAGTTTGCAGATATGCAGATACTCTTTTATTTTAAATTTAATAATTTCACAGGTGACCAAGAAATTCTTCAGTTCGATAAGGTTCTGTAATTTTTAAACTATCACTTCCTGGAGTTTGAATTAGGTCATATTGGCTGGGGAAAAAAGATCTTTTCAAGAGGTGCTGGATAACAGGGGCTTGTAAGATCAGGCTTTACTTAACCCTGAGTCAGAGCTGCTGCAGAAGTTACCATCCACTGGGGTTTCCAGTGGAGTCTCCTGAACGTCCAGGCTGTAGTGATGGTCCCAAGGAAAAGGGGCTGGGGTGGGGCTGGTGCTGTGGCAGGAGCTCAGCTCAGCTGCTGTGTGTCTTTGCAAACAGGGCAAGAAGTACAAGCCCCTGGACCTGCGGCCCAAGAAGACTCGGGCCATGCGGCGCAGGCTCAACAAGCACGAGGAGAACCTGAAGACCAAGAAGCAGCAGCGAAAAGAACGTTTGTACCCAGCCAGGAAATTCGCCATCAAGGCATAGCCCCGAGCGGGGCTGGGGTCTGGGCATGGCTCATTAAAGGGAGTTTGGTTTGGAAGTGTCTCTGGTGGTTTCCTTGGTGGTGGTGGGTGAAGAGGCCATAAAGGAGTCATCAGCCTAATGGAGGGAAATGGGAGGATTCACAGAAAGTGTTTAAACTGCAGCTGCTAATGAAAATACAGACCTGGCAGTTTTATTTTTCTCTGAGGAACAGGCATGGATGGGTACAGATCTGTGAGGCTGGTTCATCCAAACGTGTAAGAAGTATTTAACCTGAGACTGATGCAGAATTGGAAGCTTTTCACAAATGCTGGTAGTCAGTCAATACTTATCACTATTTATCACAGTTTAAAATTTTATCTTGTGCCACTGTTGAAGGGTTAATATAAATAAATTAATTAGCTGAAGGATTTTACAGGACATGGTGGAAACTTGTCAGCGCTTGGTTCAGATCCCTGGGCAGCTTTTAGCTAAGGAGAACCCCCTTGGGGAAAGTGTCAGGCCAGGTGTTCTCTGTGTGAGCTCAGGGTATGAAAAAAGCTCTGAACTCCCATGGCCTCACAATTGCACACTTTATACCTGCAAAGCACAGCACGGGTTAAATGGTTTGTCCCCCGTGGAGTACTTTGGGACTCAGAGAGGGAATTGCAATTCCAAAAGCCTTTTTTGGTCCTGATTGTGAGGAAGAGTTCCACAGTGCTGCTGGAGCGTGAGGGCTGCAGCACTCATGGTTTGTGTTAGTGCAGCCAATGCATTCGAACATAAAAAATTCCCTATCCATTAGGGAGTTCCTAGATTGGATCCAGATTCTGTTTAGGAAAAATATCTTAATTCTGCTCCCTCAGTTAAGGATTTGTAAGCCTCAAGCTAGTTTTATCCAGAGGCCTGACCACGTGTGTTGCAGGGAGTTTGCCCTACATGGTGGCATTGGAGGGGTGGCTGCTGTGATGTCACCTGGGCTGTGCCGAGGCTTTGTGTGGAGCCGGGGTGGTGGGACGTGCCTGGCAGCGGGAGCTGGCACAGCGCGGGGCCGGGGAGCTGCGTGGGAAGCGGCTCCTTGGCTGGGCTCTGCTCCCGGGCAGGGTCACAGGGGCCGTGTCTCCGTGTCCTGCTGGGGCCAGCAGAGCTGCTCCAGGGGGAGCATGAGCTGCTTGCCTCCCCAGGAGCAGGAGCACCCTGTGAGGATCCCAGATCCACCACTCCCATCCCAGGAGCTGGATGCCAGAGGGAGGCAGGAGAGGGACCGAGCCCCTGTGCTGGGAATGGGGCAGGCGGCTGCTGCCAGATCGTGCTTGACTGCACTCAGGCTTCTCTCTGGAGAGCTGTGTGCCCTGTGCTGCCCCAGCAGCTCTGTCAGCGTCCCTGACAGCACAGCAAAGCAAACACGGCCTCAACTGCACTGCAGAGGCTGGTGACAGGGTCAGGGTGTGCTCCAGGTGTCACCTTCCACCCCAGCCATGGAGCAGTTGCACTGCCAGGAGGGGATCTGCTGTCTGAAGGATCCAGTCAGTACAGATCACTGGCATGCCAATCAATAACAAGAGGGTGGGGAACACAAAAACGAGAGAAAATCCCAACTGGGCAGGCACTGAACATCCAGGAGCCATCCCCATGCTGCAGTGGGAGGCAGTCCTGGAGAACAGCTCAGAATTCAGTTTGTGCACAGGCCACAGCAGCCATTTGAGGAGGTGAACATGTTTCTGGCACTGCAGTAAATCCTGGGGCTGAATTACTCCATCCACCCATAGCTGTGTGACAAAACCAACCAGTCTTGTCCTTCCATCAGAATTGCCCTGTCACAGGAGACATCCTGCAGACAAGGAGCCCTTTAAGTGACCAGGAACAACAGACTGATTGAGAGGACAGAGGTGAAGTGATGAGCTTCCTTCAGGACACAGGTGGAGAACATTCTTGTTCCTGCTGTGAGAGCAAGGCAGAGCCTGTCGTGGCTGGGGTCTCCAGTGGTCTGTGCTGGTTCTCTGTTTACCAGCCAGCCCCAGAGGGTGCCCATGCTGCCCCAGCTCCCTGCTGTCAGGGCTGAGTGAACACTCTCAAGCCTTGCTGGTCCCAGAGCAAGGGAGGCCAGTGGCAGGAACCCCCAGCTAAGGGCCACCCCTCCCCAGAGCATCCCAGCGTTGCAGTGCCTCTGTGGGACCACACAGCATGTCCCCTGTGTCCCTGCAGGCTGTGTGGCTCCTGTCCCCTCCAGCCTGGCTGTGGGGTCGGTCTGGGACCCCGCCGTGCTGCAGCACTGACCCCACACAGCTGCCCAACGCCAGCCCTGGGTTTAGCACCGGTGTTTGCAGAGCATCAGAGCCTCACAAACTCAAACTGTTTATTTGCTCCTTGTAACTGAAGATGTCCCTCAGCACTGGGGAGGTTTCCTGGGAAAAGACGTTCCTCAACAAATAAATAATTTCCCGGGCGGGGATGAGGACGGAGGAGCAGCTGCTGGCTGGCTGCAGGGCATGGCCCAGGGCTGGTGCTGCCGCAGAGGGAGCCCTGGCCCTGTGCCCTGGAACACATCCAACAGGACCAGATGTTTCTGCCCAGCACAGCGGGACCGGCCCGGGGCGGATGGTGTCAGTGGGAGCTGGCAGCATCCACTCCTGGACCCAGTTCTGCATCTAGGGCAGGGCCTGGGGGCTGGGGAGGAGGGGCTGCAGAGGGGCAGAGCAGATGTGAGCTGTATAATCACAGAGTCTTTTAGGATGGAAAAAACCCTCAAGATTGAGTCCAACTGTAAACCAAAAAAGGTGGGTCCTGGGCTTTCCACCTCCCTTGGCTGGTGTTTGCTATGATGGACACAATCCCCCAGCTCTCCTAATGCTCCTGTCACCACTCCTGTCACCTTCCTTCTTCAGGATGGTCCTTGGCCGCTGCCCTGAGCGCTGCCCCAGGGCTGTCCCTGCTTTCTGCACACAGTGTGGGCAGTGGGACATGGAGGGACATGCCGAGTGCTTTGTGGGGCAGGGAGTTTGGGAGCCACCACCTGGGCACGCCGCCGTTCCCTCGGCTGTGCCGTGCCCAGCACAGGCATGCTGGAAGAGCCGGCCCTGCGTGGCTGCGTGCGAGCAGCGTGTCTGGTGCATCTGGTGACCACAAGCCCCAGGCTGAGAGGCCTGGCAGGAGAATGCCGCGTCCTGCTGGCCTCACAGATGGCCTGGGTCTGCCCAGGGCAGCCGCCCGCGCCGGCCCTGAATGCCCGTTTTGTTGGCTGGTCTGGGGGAGGACTTGCCCCACGCTGCCCTGGTCCTGCTGCGCCATGAATTCGGGCAGTGTCTGCACCCAGCGCCGCAGGGCTCGGCTCCCGCCGGCCTGGGGCTCCCGGGGCTGGGGCTGCTCCCTGCGGGGCTCCTGGCTCCCAGCCAGCCTGGCTGTGCATCCGCAGGGAGATGGAGAAAGCCCTTGCATCAGAGCCCAGCCATGAGAGCCCCCTGCTCCCTGCCGTGCCGCGCCGTGCCGTGCCATGCCATGGGTGCTGCCAGAGAAGGGGTATTTGCAGGTGCACCCAGCCAGCCCGAGGGGTTGCCATGGCAAGACCAGGGTGCTGTGGAGCTGGTGGTGTAAGCCTGGGAAAGATTTCTGTTTCCACTGGTGAGTGAGTCAGCGGCAGCACCGCCAAGGCCCGTGGTCCCCTCCCTTCCCTCCGGCCACCGCCACCACCCACCACCCGCTGCCCTGCCCTTTCCCACAGCTGCTCGGGGTCGTCAGCCTTGGCACCTGTGTCTCCATATCACACCATGTCCCTGCACCTCCCTGCAGCTCCTGGAGACTGACCGGAGGCTCCGGTGGCACCAGCGTTCTCCCACCAAACATGTCCCAGCATGGGCAGCATGAGGGCTGTGGCACTGCCACTGAGCTTTCTGCTCCCCAGGGATGACCTGGGGGCTACTGGCATGGCTGGGCACCATGTCCCCAGCAGAGCCCTCTGCCAAGCCCCTGCTCCTGGAGCCTGGCAGTGCCCAGACAGCTGAGCTGCAGGGGATGCAGGTGGAGGCAGCTCCTGGGGTGGAACTGAGGTTTTGGTGCACCCTCAGTGAGTGCCATGGGCAGGCTCTGGCCAGGATGTCACCTGCCCACTGTACATCCTGCCCACCCAAAGACTGGCCACCCCTGGCTCACCTCAGCCCCGAGACGGCTCAGCAGGGCTGGCACCGTGGGGAGAGCAGGACGCCAGCCCGGGCAGCGGGGCCAGGAAGAGGCAAAACCACCACAAACAAACCAGCCCGGCCAGTAACTGAGATGGGGCCGGGGGGGATCAGGGCTCACTGCCCGGCTACACCAAGGACAGCAGGAGATTTTGGGAGCAAGGGCTGTGGCACAAGAGCCCCCTGCCCAGATGGCCTCAGCTGCCCTTCCCCAGGCGCCACATCACTGTCATGGGGGCTTTGAGCACCACAGCCCCCCAACATCCCTGTCTCAAGCTTCATTTGCTGCTTGCTGCTGAACTGAGAGATTTTAATCTTTTAATCACGTTATGAGCCGAGGTGGTGCCGGCCACGCACAGGAGGAATGTCTGGAAGTCAGCAGCGCCTGTCGCAGTGGGAGCCCATCCTGCCCCCCCAACATATCCCCACTGTGTCCTGCTCGGGGTCCCCGTCCTCCCCAGCCTGGCTTGTCCTGCACCTGAACTGGGACCAGGGGCAGAACGTGGGACCAGATACCAGGGCCGGCCATCAGGGACCCGTGCCAGAACAGAGATCAGCTCACAGAGGGCTGTTGGGACTGACAGTCCCCTGCACAGCCCAAAGGACCCAACACAACGTAGTGCTCTGACCATGTGGGTTTCGTTCCTCCCTTCCCATGTTTTCTGACTGAGGGGTGTCCGTAGCCCAGCCCAGCACAGCGCGGAGCCACAGCAGCCCCTGCAGAAGAACAACAAAGCCCTGGAATTAGAGATGTGCTGGGAGTTTACTTTACCACAAAAAAATGTCAGAAATCCGTATTGTTTGTACAGGGATTTGCTGGGGATCGCTAGATAAAAGCCTGGCAGGGACCTAGTCCGGGGGAAAGTCGGCTGGCTCCTTTCTGGTGGCGAGGACCCGCGGCCCGGCGAGGAGGCAGTGCAGGGCCAGCGCAGGGGCTCGGGGCAGGGGCAGGGCAGGGGCAGGGGCAGGAGAAGGGCAGGGGCAGGGGAAGGGACAGGGGCAGGAGCAGGGCAGGAGCAAGGCAGGAGCAGGAGCAGGGGCAGGAGCAGGGGCAGGGGCAGGGGCAGGGGCAGGGGCAGGGGAAGGGGAAGGGGAAGGGGAAGGGGCAGGAGCAGGGGCAGGAGCAGGAGCAGGGGCAGGAGCAGGAGCAGGGGCAGGAGCAGGAAGAGGGGCAGGGGCAGGGGCAGGGGCAGGGGCAGGGGCAGGGGCAGGGGTGCCGTGAGCCAGAGGAGGACCTGGGAGCAGCGTGGGGCCAGGAGAAGGGGGGAGCCAGGCTGCCCCGCGCCTGGCACCAGCTTCAGGTCTTCGCAGCGGGAAGCCTTTCACATCCAGGGACACGCTCGGTGCCAGCTCCGCAGCACGAGGCGCCCGCGGCGGAGCCGGTGCGTGCGAGGCCGGAGGGACCGAGGGGACGGGAACGGGAGGGCGCCGGGCCTGAGGGGACGCTGCTCTCCCCCGGGCCCCCCGGCAGCTCCGCGCTCGCCAAGCTCGGAGCAGGTCAGGGCAGCTGCTCGCCGGGCCCACGCTCAGCTGCTCCGCGCTCCCGGCGCTCCCGGGCTGCAGCTCAGGCTGGACAATGCCAAAGCTGCTCCCCAGCACCCGGCAGCGGCTGCTGTCCCGGGTCTGTCCCGGACCCTCCGGCTCTGCACTGCCGTGGCACCGTGCTGGTGCTGCCGGGGAGACGCGGGGTGCCCGCTCTGGGCAGATGTGCCTGCAAGGGGTGCAACAGCCGTGACAGCAGCCCCTGGCACTCCTGGCCGTGGAAGTGGGGTCAGTGGACAAGGATGGCGAGGGACAGGCACAGTGCGGGACGGGGATGGAGAGCACCCACCCTGCCCAGCTCCAGCACAAATGACAACACACGCAGCCCGCTCTCACATCTGTTATGTTTTAGTACTGTTCATGTCTAAAATGACCAAAACCAAGCCAAGCGCTCACAGCCCCTCGCTCTGCCTCACACAGAGAGTGAGAGGCCCAAGGCTGCCCTGCCCCGTGCTGAGTGCGGGCAGGGCTGAGGACAGGGCTGAGAGCAGAGGTGAGGGAAGAGGTGAGAGCAGAGGTGAGGGAAGAGGTGAGGACAGGGCTGAGAGCAGAGGTGAGGGCAGAGGTGAGAGCAGAGGTGAGGACAGGGCTGAGGGCGGGCTGAGGGCAGGCGTGCGGGCAGGTGTGCGGGTGTCTGTTCGAGCAGGGCACTCCAGGCACGCTCCTCCCCGCCTGCTGCCGAAGGGGACTTACAGGGCTCCAGTGAATGCATTTAAATAACAAACTCATGGTCAGCAAAAGCAAAGGCATCTTAACCACACTTCCTAAAATAGCGACTGGCACCTGTTCCTGGCGCCTGGCAGTGAGGGGGCCCACGGGGCTGGGCGCGGGCAGGGCACGGGGCTGTCCCGGTGCTGGCACGGTGGCAGCGGTGGCACACGCGGCCCCGGCGGGCTGGGCGCAGTGCGGGAAGCGCTCAGTGCGCTGCTGCAGAGGCAGAGGGATGCAGGCTGGGCTCCTCTCTGTGTCCCAGGGAAGGCGATGCTGGCCGAGCTGCCACGGCCCCGGGGGCCACGTTGTCACAGGGGTGTCTGCTGGGGGCTGCTCTCATGTGCTCTCCCTGCCCTGCAGCGCAGTGGGCACGGTGCAGGCGACGGCCATAGCAGATGGGGAAGGTTTTGGGGTGGAAGCCGGGCTCTTGCCACAGCCCTGGCTGGAGCTGGGGTGCCAGGGCCAGGCTGCGTCAGGGTGCCCCAGCCAGGCACGGCGCAGGAGTGCAGTGGGACCCGCCCGGGCACTCAGACCACGAAGCGGAGCCCATACGTCATCTGATGGCCATTGTCCCAGGCATAGAGCACCTTCTCCTTGGGGTTGTAGTCGACCTGCGTGGTGAAGGAGTAGTGGTTGAGGAAGGGCAGTCGGAGCTCTGCCTCCGTGTCTGTGTGCGTGTCGAAGGCATAGGAAATCTGCCCTTCCTTCTGGCTGTAGGTGTCCACAGCGTAGAGGATGCCACAGATGATGAAGCAGTTCCCGTACGTGTTGCGCTTCAGCCCCGTCTTCCAGGTGGTTTCCTTGCGCACCGAGAGGTCCACGGGGTCAAGTCGGCTGAGGACGATCACCTCCTGCTGGGAGTAGTCATAGTCCACCGAGGGGTAGATGACCCAAAGCCCGCTCTCATCCACGGCGAAGTCGATGTCCGAGTGGCCCCTCCACTTCCAGGGCGTCGTGTCCTCGTACACCACATCATGGAGCTGTGCCCAGCCTGCCACGTACCGCTCCTTCAGGTCATACTTGATGATGTTCTTGGTGAAGGCACGGTTGTAGTAGAAGGCCCCTTTGTACACCACGTGCCCGGTGCCAATCCAGTTGTAGGGCAGCTTATAGAGGTTGCTCCAGCGGCCTGTGAGTGGGTGGGAGAGGTGTTGAGACCCTCCACAGCACAGGGGTCCCACGCACGATGGCCAGAGCATGGCAGCAGCAGCAGGGGACTTGTGTCACCCTTGCTGCCCTCTGGGCACTCCCCTCAGCTGCCCACCACCCCAGGGCCCAGCACAGCTGGTGTCACACAGCACTGGACACCCTCCTAGGAGGAGCCAGGACCCCTGTGCCCACTCGGCCGCTTGCCCCTCACCCTGCTTGAAGTTGTCGAGGCTCCTGAACTCCACCAGGCTGTTCCCATAGTAGTAGTTGGTGACGTAGATGCGGTCATCCTTGGCTGCTGGGTCCTTCATCCAGGCCCCCTCATTGCGCCCGTAGCTGTGGTGCTCCGTGGGGGGCTCCACGGACTCGATAGTGCCCTCGCACTCCGCCTCCTTCACTGGGTGCCAGAGGGAGGAAGAGGAAGGCTTATCCCTGCCCCAGGCAGCTGACTCTGCTGCTCCTTCCCCGTGGCAGATTCCTGCTGGCTTAGCTCGGCAGGGCCACTGGGAGCACAGGGCTGGGTGCCCTGTGCCAACCACCCCCTCTCACCCACCTCTGTTCGGTGTTTCGGGGTCCCCGGTGCGCTCGGCGCCCTGCCCGGGGCCGGTGGGGCTGCGGGCGGTGCTGCGGGGGGCCGGGGCACTGCTGGGCACAGCCGTGGTGCTGGGCATGGTGCTCTCTGCCCGTGCAACAGCTTGGGCTGGGGTGCCCTCAGCTGAGGGGGGCGGGGGGCCCCTGTCCTCCTGCTGCTCTGACGCGGCTGCCCCTCTCACAGAGCTCTCTGTGGGGGGAGAAACTGGGGGTTACTGTGTTTGTCGGGGCAGCCCTGGCCCCCTGCCTCGGTGAGAGGTGCCCTCCCTGCCCCCCATCCCCACCCTGCCTCCAGACTCACCGCGGCCGCCGGCCGGACCCTCCGCCGCTCCCGCCTGCCCGACCTTGTAGTAGGTGATGCCTCGGACCACAGTCTGCTGCTGTGCCGGGGGCTTGGGCTTGGCCGTGGGCTGGGACCCCGCCCTGGCCTTGGTGTTCTCCTTTTTGGGCTTTTCGGGCTTCAGCGGCTTCTCCTTGGGCGCTCGGGGGCCTGCCCTGTCCCCCAGAGCCTTGCGGGTGCTGGGGTACCGTCCCGCCTCCTTCTCTCGGCCTCCTGTCGTGTCCTGGGGGGCACAGCCTGGTTGGACCCCCTTCCCTCCCGTGCCCTACTCCTCCCTGCCACTGCCGTGCCAGGCAGTGGGCAGCAGCCCAGGGGTTACCCCAAGGATCCTCCACGAGCCTGGGGGAGCTTGGCCCTGCCTGGCAGCACCCACTGTGCCTGCACGGGGCTGGCTGCGGGGTACCTGTGCCTTGGGGTACCTGTGCCTTGCTCTCGGGGACGACAGCCGCATCCTTCTGCAGCAGCTGGTAGCCCAGGTTGGAGATCTCCTTCTTGATGCTGATCATGATGTCAGAGTAGTTCTCGTAGCGTTTCATCTGCTCGGTGAGGTGCTGGACGCTCTCCTTCATGAAGTCATTCTCCCTGCTCAGGTTGGTCTTGATGGTCTGCAGGAGAGGGAGGGAGAGGCTGGAGTCCCATTCAGGGAGCTCACAGACAGCCCTGAGCTGTGCAGCGGGGAGCACTGCGGGGATGGGGCTGCTGGAGCTCACTCACCTCCTCCAGCGTGTTCATCTGCGCCGCCACCTTGCTGATGTAGGAGTGCACCTTCATCAGGTCCATGCTGTACAGCGTTCCCTCCAGCAGGTCCACCATGGCCTGCAGCTGCAGAGGGGACGCAGGGATGGGGCTGGGGTAAGGGCTAGGGCACAGGGCACGGGGCAGGGACACGGCGGCACAGCATGGGGACGGGGTCTGGCCCCCAGTCCCACCACACCACAGCTACCTTGAAGAGCTCAGGGGCCTGTTTCTTCAGCTTCTCCATCTTCCACTCATTCTCACAGGGGTTGAGTGAGGAGGGGGGCGCGGTGCAGGAGCACTTGCAGTCAGCCCCTGAGCTCACCGTCTCCACGGTGTAGAAATCCTCCACGCGCGCGCTGCCATTCCTGACGCGGCTGCAGGCGTCCTTGCTGAGCGGCCGCAGGATGCACTTGCAGCGGCAGTCGGAGCCCTCGGAGGTCATCCGGACCTGGTCCACGTCACCCAGAGCCTGTGGGACACGTGATGAGCCCGGTGCCCCACCGGGGTGTCCCACAGGGCCTCGCCAACCCCAGCAGAACATCACAGCCAACTCCCCCACTGCTGCTTGCCTGGAGATCTCCCACTGCCCTGGGGCTCGTGGCTGTGCCCCAGAGAGAGGCACAGTCTAGTCCCAAGCACCCTGTCCCACCATTCTGCAGCCAGGCTGACAGTGACAAAGCCCAGGGAGCTGCTCATCCCTGCAGTGTTTTGTGGCCCAGGTACTTCAGTCTCATTTCTGTGGCTGCTTCCCAGCCTCCAGCAAGACCTCAGTGAGCAGGGATGGTGGCAAGAAGACCCAGCAGCGCCTCTGTGCCCCCACGGCACGGCTCCGAGCCCACACAGGGCTCGTTGTTCGTGGTGACATGCTCACCTCGGGGTGAGCTCGGCCCCTCAGCCTGCTGCGATGGCCCGAGGCACAGGCTCAAGGACTCCCTTGTTTCCACACATGGCCCTGATTCACGCTACAGAGCCCAGGGTGCTTTTCGGCCGGTTTAGCTCATTTCTCCCGTTGTGCTCAGGAACAGGGGAGCTGAGTCCCTCCCACCCCCTGCCACCAGCTGTGCACCTGCGGGGGACCCCTGGGCTGGCAGGAGCCTGGCCAGGCTCTGGGTGTCCCAGGAGCGGGGATGCGCTGCTCCCTGCGCCCGGGAGGGTGGGAGAGCAGCGAGAGGCGGCGCGGTGACCCCGGAGGGAGAGGGCTCTGCCCACAGGGACTCTGACTCATCCTGGGAAACAGAACGGTGGCAGAGCTGGGAAACGAGTTGAGCTCTGGCTCCCGGTCCTCCGCGGACCACAGCGGAGCGCAGAGCGGCGTGGGAAAGGGCAGAGGCCCCCGGGGCCGTGTCCTGCACCAGGCAGCGCCCACGGCCGCGCACGGACCCTCCCTCCGGCGCCGCTGTGGCACCGGGGCAGCGGCGCCCCCCGAGCTGGGCACGGACCCCCAGCTCCCCGCAGCCCACAGGGGCCAGGGGCCTCCTCCCCTTTCTGAAGGGCTGCAGAACTTCACACATTTTGCATTTCAAAAACCCCTCTTTCGTTCAAAGGGAAAGCAGGTCCTGCTGGCTGCGGGGAAACACCAGGAAGCCAAAGGGCTGTAAATTGAGCAGAATCTAATCAAGCTCGCAGCAGGGAGCGGGGCAGGGACCCCCTCCCCAAACACCACCTCGCCAGGCTCGCACGTCCCCGGGGCCCCTGACCTCCCCCAAGGCCAGGCCGGCACTTGTGCAAACAGGCAGCAGGAGTCCCAGCCCGGCCGGAGCTGCCGGCCCCGCTGCGCGCTCCAGCAGCGCCCGGAGCCGCTGCCCTGCCGCGGGCAGCGTCAGCACACATCCCTGCGGGAATCCCACGGGACATCCTCCCCGCTGAGCCCCGCTTCAGTTCCAAGCTGGGGTCCCCCGCTCCTGCCAGGAACCAGCCTGGCGAAGAGCACCAGCCACTGCTGCGGCACAGCCCGACCCCCGGCACATGCTGCGACCCCGCCAGCTCCCAGCACCTCCTGCAGGGCAGGGCTGCAGCTGCCTGGGCTGGAAGCTCGTTCCTGAGGCTGTGGGTGACCCTGCGCTGCGCTGGGAGGCACGGCGGGCCCGCTGAGGCTGGGCTGAGCAGGAGGGTGCCCAGAGCAGCGAACACACCGCAGCAGCCGTGACAATGCACATCGCGGAGGTGTCCGGCGCACATCGCGTCTCCCACGGCAAGATGGGCCAGCCCCTTCCCCGAGACCCGGCCACGGCCGTCCCGCGTGGGCAAACGCGCTGCGGGTGTCTCTGCACCGCGCCCGGGCCGCCGCCCACCTTCGCGTGGGGCCGTAACTCTAAACCTCGCTGTGCCGTCTGCCAGCTTCCCTAAACAGGAACTGCACGTTCTATTTATACAGAAAAGCCCATAAGCAAGGAAGTATTAAAAAACAGGCTCCCACGCGAGGAGACTCCGTGGGTCGCCCGCCGTGGTACCTCGGCTGGGTGCCTCTGTCAGCCCGTGCCTGGCTGTGCCCGGCTCCGCAGGGGACAGCCCACACCAGGGCACGCACAGACCCTCTCCCCAACAGCATACAGGTGGCTGGGGACGTGAGTGCAGAACGCAGCCCGTGCTGCTCTGCTTTCTCCGGGTGGGAATCTGTGAGCTGCCCGAGAAACCTGCGTCGGGGGCTGATGCAGCCCTGCAGGGGCTCTGGTGATTCTTCCCCTGCATCCCCCACTCGCTGCAGACCCCAGCCCAGGGTGCTGGCAGGTGGCTGCTGCCTCTCCTCCTGAGCAGGTCCCAGCTTCCCAGGGGCTGCACACCCATGGCTGGTGTGGGAGACTGTCGCTGCACTTTGCTGAGTGTTTCCTCACTGCAAGTTTTATGAGCTGGGTAATTTTCCCAGTTTCCGGGACTGCTTGCAAGAGCATCCATGTGAGCACAGAGTTTGTGACATTATTTGGAGAAAGCGGGACCTTTGACAATGACCCTTGGACAGCTTTTAAGCTGTCCCTTGGCTGCTGCCAGAAGGCTCGTCTTGGAGGAAAACACGCTGTGTTGATAAGCTGCCGCACTGCACGCCTCTGGCACAGCTGCTGGAAGGCATGTCCCCGTCACGGGAGGGAAACCATGTCACCCTCCTCTTCCTCCTCCTCCCAGGCTTGGCACAAAGTGTCAAACACGTCCTGCAGCTGAGGCAGAACGGTGCTGGCAGGGCTGGGCCGTGGCTGACGGCAGCCAGGCCCCGGGCGCTGGCGCTGGCACTGCTTGGGCGTCCCGTGCTGGTCACAGGGACACAGCCATGCCAAGCGCTTGTGTGGCACATGCATGCCCACCGATGGGATCTCATCCAACGGCAAGCATGGAGGAAACACCTCTGAGCACAGCAGGCAGCACCTGCGGGGAGGGAGACGGCACCGCGTGGATCGCTGAGTCCTGCCAGCATCAGCCCTGGCACCCCGCCGGGAAGCCAAGCAACAGGGCATTCCAGGCTCTGGATATCTGTTCCAGGCTAAGTGCTGCCCGACAACAGCTGCGTTAGCGTCGTTTTCCACCAAATGTCTTGGAAAATCCTGTCTTAACATTTGGTGATCCTAGCAGTAGCTGCTCCCTCCACCATTCCTCTGGGCTGGGTCCCGGTGTCCCTGCCCTGGCCCCGCTACGGCCACTGACCCCGTGGGAGACGTGTTCCAGCTGGAACCGGGGGCTCCTGGATGCGGGGGGAGGCTGGCTCCCCCCGCTGCCCGGTCCCGCTCCTGCTCCTCATCCCCGCGGGGAAGGCTTGTCTGGGCTGCTCTCTCTGGCACGGAGTCGCTCATTGCAGCGCCCATCACCGCAGCGCCGGGGCTTGGGCACCTTCCAAGCGCTCGAACGCGCCCACAGCCCGGGTCATTCCCTGCGCCGAGCCCCGCCGCGATGGCAGCGCCGGCACCCGAACCGCGGCCCTTCCCGGGACCCCCGCCCGCTGCCCGTGTCGCGCCCCCGCCGCTCCGCCCGGGCACAGGGAGCGGCGACCGCCGGGGACACGGCAGCGACGGGGCTGCCCTGCCCGCTCCCGACCGCCGCCGTGATCGCTCGGGGCCGCGATCGCGATCCCGGTCCCGACCCCCGTCGGTGCCGGTGCCGGTGCCGATCCGGCCCGTCCTTACCGTGGCGGCGCCGCGCACGGCGGCCAGCGCCGGGAGCAGGAGCGCGGGGAGCAGCAGCGCCCGCATGGCGAGAGCGGCGGTGACCGCCCGCACCGAGCGCCCGCTCCGCCCGGCCCGTCCCGTCCCGGCGGCGGGGAGGAGCCGCCCGTCCCGTCCGCCCGGCCCGCCCCGCCCCGTCCCGGCGGCGGCACCGGCCCCAGCGGCGGCGCCGCGGCGCGGGGGCGGCGCGTTCCCCCCGGGTGGAGCCGCCCGTGCCCTCCCCGGGGCTCCCGCTGCCCCGGGGCTCCCGGTGCCCCGTGCCGGGGCGGGCCGATCCCGTACTCTGAGATGCGGTGTCCCCGCCCGGACCCTCTCCGGGGCTGCGCGGTTTCCCCGGGCAATGCCCCGTGCCCGGTTTCGCCCCTCTCGCAGCTCCGCGGTCCCGGTGCCCGCGTGCCCGCTCCCGGCCCCGGGTGCCCCCTGGCGCCCCGCCGCTCCGGCGCGGGGCAGCCGGGGCGGGCCGGGGGCGCGGCCGTCGGGGCCGGGCCCGGCGCCCCGCGGGCGGCGCTCGGACTACGGCTCCCGTGGTGCCCCGGGGGGGCGGGGCGCGGCCGGCCCGGCCGAGCGCGGCGCGGCCCTGGCTGTCAGCAGCGCCCGAGCGGCCATGGGGCAGCGCGGCCGCCGGGGCCGCTGAGACCGCCGAGCCCCGGCGCGGCGCGGCCCCGGCGCCGCCATGGAGCTGGAGCCGCCCGCGGAGCTGCCGGAGCCCCGCGCCGCCAGCAAGGGGCCGCCCCGCAGCGGTGAGTGCAGCTCTGCGCGGGGTGCGGGCGGGCCGGGGGCGCGGCGCCGGCGGTACCGGCGGCTCCGCCCGCCCGCCGCGGCCCCGCAACTTTCCGCGGCCGCGGGGCGCAACAAAGGGGCCGCTGCCCGCCCTGCCCCGCCGCCCCGGCCGGGCGCCGGGAGCCGCCCGGGGCTCGGGGTGCGCGGGGGTCGCCGCCCGCAGCGGGTCCGCTCGGGCGGGCGGCGTGTCCCGCGAGCCCGGCTCGCCCGGCAGGAATCGCCTTTCCCCGCGCGGCGGTCCGCGGTCCCGCGGGGTGTGCGCGGCCGCTGCGGGCTCGGCCCGAGCGCTCCGGGGGCTGCCCCGCGGTGCCGGTACCGCCGCCCGGCCGTGCCCCGCGGTGCCGGTACCGCCGCGTCCCGGCCGTGCCCCGCGGTGCCGGTACCGCCGC